TCGATGGCACCTGACAACAATAACAACAACAAGATCAATATACAAAAATCAATGGAATTTCTGTTCACTGATAAAGGACAGCTTTGAAAAGGAAATTAGGAAAACAATACCAAATACTTAGGAATAAATCTAACCAGAGAAACAAAAGAATTATAGAAAGAAAACTACAAAATGCTGCTAAAGAAACCAAGAGATTTACAAAACTGGAAGGTATACCATGCTCATGTTTTTTTGTATTTGCAGAATTTTTCTTTTTATGTTTTTATGTTTACAGAAGATAACCTAATCTTTCTGCCACGAAAGGGGTGGTAGTATCGAACTGCTGACCTTAAGTTCGCAGCCACATTCTTAACCACTACACTACCAGAGCTTCTCAATTTTTATTCCATCGGTTCCGACTCGATGACACCTGACAACAACAACAACAACATTTACCGAATCCCAAGTGGCAAGGAAGTCAAGTAGATTTTAAGATAAATCAGGCTGTTTTAAAATGGGTAAGAAATTAATGAATTACAGGGTAACATCAAAGAAACTTAATACACCATCACATCAATCAAAAAAGAAAATCCATGAAGATTTTGTAATCATTAAGACAGTGAAAATGTCAATACTATCCAAAGCAATCTATAGATATACCACAACCCCAATCCAGGTTCCAACATCATTCTTTAAACAGATGGAAAAAATGATCACTAACTTTATATGGAAAGGAAAGAGCTAAGCAAAGCACTGTTTAAGAAGAGAAGAAAAAATTGGCCTCTCACTCCCTGATCTCACAATTTACTAGTCTCAATAGTCAAAATAGTCTGGTCCTGGGACAATGAAAGATACATAGATCAACGGAACAATATTGAGAAACCAGAAGTAAATCATTGATTTTGCAAAATTCTATCATGAGATCTTCAGATTTGATTTCTATCACCAAGGCCTTATTTTCCAAGTACTGTCCCTTCCTCTTTTTTTTCCAACTTTTGCATTCCAGTCATCAGTAATTATCAATACATCTTGATTATAGGTTAGATCAATTTTAGACTGAAGAAGTTGGTAGAATTCTTCAGCTTCAGCATCATTCATTTTAGCGGTTGGTGTGTACATTTAAATAATACAGGTATTAGCTAGTTTTCCTTACAGGTGTATGGATATTCATCTATCACAGACAGCATCATGTTTCAAGGCAGATTTTGAATTTTTTTTTTTTATGATGAGTGATATCATTTCTCTTCAATTTATCAATCCTGGCATAATAAACTTTTTGAATATCAGATTCAAAATTGCCAATACCAGTCCATTTCAGCTCACTAATGCCTAGGATTTTGATCTTTATTCATTCCATTTCATTTTTGACAACTCCCCATTTTCCTAGATTCACACTTCGTACATTCCATGTTCTGATTATTAATGGGTGTTTACAGTTGTTTCTCCTCATTTTGAGCTGGGGACAAATGAAGGTACTGAAAACTTAACTCCATTCTTGTCCTAACAGTCAACACTTATTTTGAAGAGGCAGCTCTTTCACGGTGGTATATTCAGTGCTTTCCAACCTGAGGGACTCATCTTCCAGCACTGTATCTGACAGCATTCTGCTGGTATTCATAAGGGTTCAGTATTCAATATTCGGGTACTATCTAACAAGATGGCGCTGCTACTCCTAAGGTTTTCAGTGGTTACACATTCAGAAATCATCCACCTCTCCTTCTTCTGTGTCTGTCTTAGTCTGGAAGCTCAACAGAAACCTGTCCACCATGAGTGTACCATACTGGTATTTAAAATTCCGGTGGCATAGCTTTCAGCATCACAGTGGCACATAAGCCACCACAATACAATAAACTGTCAATCAAGATTACCCCTTAAGAATTCCAATAACTATTGCCATACCTTCTGAACTGACCTCTCTGCCTTGAGTATACCTGGCCCAGCAGATGCTCTCAGATGCCACTGTTTTAATTAAACCCTTTTTTGAAGGCACACTAATGCTAATAAGACAGTACATTATTTAGAGAACTTGTCTGCAGCCAGCCACTGAAAGGCATATTTAACACATTTTATTTGGAATAAACTTGTTCATGTGTAAACTGGAATCTGAGTAGCAATAATGTTTAACTTACCCTTGTTCATATATGAAAATTCATGAAGTTATATACTATGTATAATGCATAATGCAATTTAAAAAGTATCAATGAATGAAAGGAAAGTATATTAAATCCTGAGTCTATGGATACAGAGCATCAACGTATATCACTGGCTCTCCCAGTCAGTCTGGCAGGTCCCCTAGGTCCTGGGGAAGGGAACAGCATGCACATATAGAGGGACATTGCTGAGCTTATTTCTCTCTTTTTATAAGAATTCTCCCTGTGTGAACAGAGCATGAGTCAATTTTCAGGAATGGCGCTCAACTGAGGACACATGAAAAGAACATAAAAAAGAGAAATTTTAAACATAAGTTGCTGAGAAAGGGAGGGGAAGGAAGGCTTGCATGATGGTAATTTTTCCCTTTGGGATGTGGAGTGGAGTTTGCTATCGGTAATTTGTTGGAGACCATTTACACAGGGACAGAAACTGTTAGAAGTATTCTAGCCTTCAAAGATATTTTGGGATTGTCACTGCCATCCATTAGAGCAGTCATTGTGAAAACTTACACTTCCTTTTCAAGAAGCACCATCTCCTTTTCTGTTTCCATATTTCTCAAAATTTCCTGGTATTTCTTTTCATGGAAGTAATAATAAAAAAAAAGGCATAAATATATTTGTCATAGTTGAAATTTTTCATATATTTCATTATAATTACATTGATAAAAATATATAGCAAATTTCTCTTCTATGACTAACTCTTAAAAATCCAAACAGTATATGTGTGCAACCACACATGCTTGAGTGTGCACACAGGTAGGAAGGTGTTCTAATAGAAAATTAGAAGGTATTAGTAACCAGAATAGATAGAAACGGAAAAATGTCTTCTTGTTTTGATTCTACTTTTGCTCAAATCCCAGGTCTGCCACTTACTGTGTTCTCAGGACATGTTCCCCAACTTCTCCAAACCTCAGTTTCCTCATGATCATGACAGTATTACCCTCATAGTTACTGGGTAAACTGACTGAGAAAAAAATATCCTGAGTAGAGTTAGCACAGTGCCTTGCACAAAGTAAATCTTTAACTAAAAATTCTTTTGTTGTTGCATAAAAGGCATTTTGCCCAGTGGCAGATTTCAGCCTGTTAAGGAGCCAAGTGACTTGTTGCCTGATCCAGACCTTGGAGAAATTCAGCCTCTCCTCTGACTTTTCACCCAAAAACAATTTACCTTGATGTAGTGAGCCTGGTCCTCACAGAGCTGATGCACATATTGGTAATCACTTTCTATCTAGAAAGAAAAGAAAATGAACATATTCATGCTTTAGATCACAACCATGAAAGTATTTTCTTCCACCCAAATCTTAATTTGTCCCTGGAGCCCTGAAATGGTGCATTGGACATTTGTCTGGTTCCTTTGCAACTCCTTATAAAGGGGGAAAAAATTATAAAGCAGTGATCTCATCTTTCAGGTTCAGGATCTAATTTTAAGCAAAGGAAATTGTTTGCCCAGGTTGTCATATGCCTTTCAGACATCAGAGGATGGCTCAGGATACTTGGATTTGAGATTCAACAATATATTTGAGGTTGCTGTTAAGTTCCATTGAGTCAGTTTCAAGTCACAGTGACCCTGTGTAGGACTTCTGGTGTGGCTCTGTAGGATCAGCACTGGACTGTGAACCACAATGTTGGCAGTTCAAACCCACCAGCCACTCCTTGGAAACCCTATATAGGGTTTCCAACTCACCCTATGAGTCAGAAGCGACTCCACAGCATTTAACAATAGGGTTTCCAAGTTGCCACTGGTAGGTCTGAAATGCAGACACTGCAGTTAGTATTCCAGTGCTTATCCTACAACACCACACCATGTTAAGTGCTATCAAGTACATTTCAACTCAGAATGACATTATGTGACAGAGTAGAACCATCCCATAAGGTTTTTTGTTTGTTTGTTTTTAAAGTTTTTATTGTGATCTGAATGATAGTTTACATGGGAACACTGGCTTTACACCATCGTTTCATTGCAGTGATTACAATCTTCTCCGTGCATCATCATTCAACAGTATTTACTTCCATTCCCTCTGTTTTTGGTGGTGGTGTTTTTTTGTTGTTGTTGTTGTTGTTGTTTTTGGTGGGGGAGGGAGTGCGAGTGCGTACACAAAGCACTCAAGAATATACAATTATTTAAATAATCAAAGGGCACATTTGCAAGCCTGCTTCCTGGCGGCCACCACCCAGTCTTTTTCTTTCCATGAGTCCAGAGTCTTCAGCTGCTCCCTCTACCATGTCCTCATCTCTGCTTCCATCTCTGGTGTCACTGATTCTCTGGATAGGGTCCCGCATTCCACCTGTGCTCTTCTCCCTTGATGGTCCTATAGTCCTCTGGTCCTCTGCTTCTGGACTGTAAAATTAACTACTCCACCATTTTTGCTACAAAACTTCTACTTTTACAATTGTAACAGTCACAATTAGTCATGATAACAATTACTCATTACTGAATCATAAGAATCATCCCCATCTCCTTTCACCAGACCCATCTAGACAAGATGAAAACTATTCAGTGGGGATTGTACCCTCCCCCACACACTCTTAAAACTAAACTCCCTCTTGAAAACTTGTAAATCAGGCACCTCGTGCCTTCATCATGCCCTCATTTTAGGTAGCCAATGTCTCAGTTGCCTGTTCCTATCTACCCTGTATACAGAGGGGATAGGATTGATACTTGATGTGAAGACTCCTTCTCTCTCAATTGGTACCTGGAGCTACTTACATCCATAAATTTAGGTCAAGTTCATCAAATTGTAGCAATTTACACTCATTTCCTTCATCAAAAATTTTTTTTTAATCTTCCTCTAGTTGAGTTTTGATTATCAAGACATCAAGGCTAGATCAAATAGGAACTGTCTGCAAGTTTGGGCATTCTTATGCATCTCTCCTCACCTCATACTAGCTAGATGCTTCACTTTCAGTCCTCCGTGGCTATGTCCTTGTCCATGGGCTCAGGAGTCCCCAGGTCTCACCATACTTTAGACCAACCAGCTCTTCCTCTTCTCTCTCTCTCGTCTCCAGGTCAACCATAGTCCATTGAACGTGGTTGAACTCAGCCCATTTCTTCATTACTGCCTTTCCCCCTCTTCCACTCACTGTTAAACCAGTGTGCTCGCCAGCAAGCTTACATGCCTGCTCATGTGTTCCCTTTGAGTTTCAGTCTTGGAGGGGGGTTTGTCCTGAAGGGACTTGATTGCTTGCCTTGATGGCTCCCTGGCGAACAACTTGCTTGTTCTTGTAGTAGTCAATCATACTGCCATTTTTGTTTGGGGATTTTCCTGCTAATCTTTCTTTGAAGATGTATCTTATCTTGCTCTAGCTATTCTAGGCTGGTCTGCTTGTCCTTGCAAGTGGGAATGTCTGACCTCAGAAGGTTCTGGATGGGGCTCAGGATTCCACATAAGGTCCTATACACTGCAAAGGCTCTGCAAGAGGCCTGTTTCACTGGACAAGTTCTAGGACCCCTTTTAGGAATTCCAATCTGTTATAGGCTAAAGATGGGCTTAAAAGCTTTCTGTAATCATGTTTCCCAACATTCCTTTCTATCCCACTCAAGTGTCTATTTTACAATAGAGGCAAAGGAAACTAATATTCATAAGACAGTCAAGCATCTTAGTATTATTTCCTTTTCAGACTATTCCTCAATCCCTGTATCACAGAGCCCCATTGTCAAGGCAGAGCATACATCACTATTTACCTCTGTCCCATTTAGCCTATGCAAATCCGCCTCAGTGTTCCTCTATCTACCTTGTTCTTCTACCACTTACCCCTTCTTGTGTATTGCCCTCCCCAACATCTGAAGTATGATGTGTCTTCCCCCTACCCTGTGCTCTACCATTCCCTCCCTCTACACTCCCCAAAAAATCCCTACCCTACCCTCACCAGTAACCAATAAAGAATTTTTTCCCCTTTTAGTACGGGTATCTATTCTTAAACTTTTACAATAATGATCTTATGCAGTATTTATCCATTTGGGACTGGCTAATTTCACTCAGCATAATGTTTTCAAGGTTCATCCATGTTAGGTGGTAGCTTGCAGCTTCCTTGTTATTCCTGAAGGTAGCATAATATTCCATTGAGTGTATGTACCACAGTTTGTTTATCCATGCTTCCATTGATGGGCACTTAAGCTATCATCTTTTGCTATTGTGAATAGTGCTGCTATAAACATTGGTGTGCATGTATCTATTCGTGTTTTGGCCCATGTTTCTTGTGGAAACCAAATAGAGGAATTGCTGGATCATAAGGTATTTCTGTTTCAAACTTTCTGAAGAAGCACCATACAGTTTTCCAGAGTGGTTGAATCATTTTGCATTCCCACCAGCAATGTAGGAAGGTCCCAGTCTCTCCACATCCTTGCCAGCATTTATTGTTCTCCACTTTTTTGAACTTCACTATTATTGCCGGTGTGCTATAAGGTTTTCTTGGCTGTATACTATATAGACAATCTCCAAGTCTTTCTCCTACAGAACTGCTTGATGGATTGGAACCACCAACCTTTCAGTTAGCGTCCAAATGCTTAACTATTGTGCCACCAAGGCTCCTTAAATGTTTAAGGTATAGTAAGAACAACACTTTTAATGTAAGTTTTCTTTCTCTTCACCTGCATGTGACAGAGATACATCTTTTCCAAATAGTCTTGCTCTGCCCACTCCTATACCTCAAGCAATTCTGTTTTCAAGACCTTTTGGATTCTCTCCTGTTTCTATCCTGGACTATACCCCTCAGTGGCCTCTACCTTGACCAGTTCCTGCTTTTGCGTTGCACAGCATTCTGTTGCCTTTTGTAGTCTCACCTATGGAAGACAAAGACAGAGAATTGTTAGTAGCACTCTTTTGTGGAAGATAAACAGACAGTTTCCACCTTCTCTCCATGTTGTTGTTGTTAAGTGCTGTCGAGTTGATTCCGATCCATAGCGACCCTGTATAGGGTTTCCAAGGATCAGCTGGTGAGCTTGAACCGCCGACCTTGCAGTTCAAACGGCTTTGCAGTCTGGTGCATTAACCCACAGCGCCACACCAGGACTCCAAAAAATCATGGTAATAATATCTATCACGTATTGAAGTCATATGATAACAATCTAAATTTATCTGTACAACAACCCTGCCAGGTGGACATTGAAAGGGAAGCAACAACCCCTACCGCTCATCAACCACACCGCACACCAGACAGTCCGTGTCGAGACTTTTATTCAGGGTTAGGAAGAGGAAGGTGACCTCTGCCGGAGAGAGAAAGCAGAATGCAGAAAGAAAGGGAGAAGGAGAAGAAGAAGAGAAAAGAGGGCAGAAAGAAGAGGAAGAGAAGAAGAAGAAGAAGGGAGTCAACGGGAAGGGAGTGGTCTTATATAAGTTCAACAGGAAGGGGGTGGTCATTGCTAAGGTGATTCAGCTGTGGCCTATCAAAAGCCATGTTGCCCTTTAAACTACGCACCTTGTAGCTTAGGGTGGGGAAACAAACCTAAGATTACAAAATGGAGTTGAAGGGAGGGGAGAGGGAAGAACCCGGAAGGTAACAGACACTGTTATTAATTCCGTTTTACAGATGAGGAAACAAAGACATGGAAAAGCTAAGAAATTTTCTTAAAAGTCGCACAATGGCAGAGTTGAGATTTAAGCCTAAGTAGTGTGGCTCCTTAATTCCTGGACCCAACCATCCCCCTTCTTCTAATTGTACTAACCAAAACTCATCAACATCTTTCTCCTACTTACATTCTGTAGATGCACTGGTATACCCTCTGAATCATGGAGGGATCAAAGGAGAAACATTATTCTTCTTTATTAGAGGGAAAAATAGGATGGTAGGGCTATTGAATTCTGGGATTAGTCAACCAGCCATATGGGTTTTGCCCCCTAGTGGGCATCCATTAATTCATTCAGGAAATATTTATTGGACATCGTCTATGTGCCAGGCAGTATTCTAGGCCTTGGGGAAACCGCAGTGAGCAACAGGTAAAAATGATATTCTCTTTGACAAGAGAATATTCTCCAGGCAAAAGAAAAATAATAGACGCAAAGTGTTCTGGACTATGAGCTATGGGTTGAAATATCAGATAGGATGATTGCCATATTTCTGATCATGGAAGTTAGTATTTGCTTGGTGGCTTTGTATCTCTATTTGTGTGCCCTTCCCATTTAGATCATAAACTTGAAGGCAGGTCCTGCTGGCCAGTCACAATGTGTGCTGTAGTGACTGATCTTTGACAAGGTCTTTTGAGCAAGTTCACCCCATACTAATGCCATTACAGTCATCTGTCACTTGTGTGACAGGTATGTTGTAAATGCCTGTGGGTCCATGGAGTTTAGAAGTGGGGACAAACACAAAAGCACAGAAAGGACCTATTATAGTCCTTGCAGACTGATCCTCCTCCTGGAGCCTAAAACGGACACAATATCTCCCAGGAAATCTCTAGGTTTTTCTGCGTTTCTACTCACCTTCGATTCTGACAACATCTGTGTTAGGGTTTCTTTATCAAGTCCAACATTTTTAAATCTCCTTGAAATCTGAAATTCCATTCCAAAAGTTGTGAACTAAACAAGGCACAGAAACATGAAAACCTGGAATAATGGCAGATTTGGGAATTGCAAGGCTACAGAATGTGGGGGGAGGATAATTTATTCAGGTCCCAGATGAAACTTAATGGAAATGTGTCTCCATTCCCCTGTGGATACTATCTGACTCCATGCTAGCTGAGCAGACTTTTTTGTTCCCATAGCTCATGGAAGCACAATAAGGAGACTAGGACAGGAGAGGGATGAGAGAAGAGGCAAAGTGGCGGGGGATAGGAGAGGCATATCTCTTCTCCTTCTATAGACTCTGAGCTCTCCCTAATCAGTAATTCCCAGGGAACAAGTGGTGGTATGAATCAAAGTCTGTACTAGCTAGTCTAGAAGGTGGCAGGGGAGAGGAAAGAGGCAGATTGTTCTGGTGGCCCCTTCTCTGAGCTTCGTGGCTGGAGAGCTCAGAAAGCCATTGAGTCTGTTGGGATTCTTAAGAAATGAGCCTTGTTTCAAGTGTGGACATTATGATGTAGGAATCAATCCCTTCATGAGAGTGTATATATAAATATATTTTCATTCTGAATGTGATCAGTCCCCCTTCTTTCATGCTTCCAGCCCACCACCAGTTTTTCTTTTGTGAATACCATGTTCTGGGGGCTTTGAGAACCTCAAAAACCCGCCTTACCTTCTTCTGAAGCTTCAGCACATTCTTGCTTAGAATGCTATTATTTTTTTCCTGCAGAAAGAAGGGAGTAAGGGAACAAACCTACTCTGTTCTTATACCCTTCCCCGCATTGGGCCACTGAAATTATATCTGGGTATAAGTATATTAAAATTTTAACAGAATTAAGTGTATGAGTCCCTACATGCTTCAAATGGCTAAGTATTCAACTGCTAACAGAAAGGTTGGAGGTTTGAGGCCACCAAGAGAAGACTTGGAAAAAAGACCTGGTGTTCTAATTATGAAAATCCTGTGGAATACAGTTCTATTCTGACATACGTGGGTCACTATGAATCATAGTCACTTAAATGGCAATTTTTTATATAGATGTGTGTGTGTGTATAAAGTGGGAAAGGGGCACTGTGGACCCACATAGCATATCTAGGTGCATTAAAGCTCAAGCATTGAGCCCCAATGCGTAGAGATTCATCCATAGAACACAGTTTTAAACTCCTGTGATTTCTAGAGATTCAGAAGAGATGAATGTATGACAATCTCTGGAGAAGAGAGAACACAGACTGAAAGAAGCAGAATGTATCAGAGGCCCCTTTTCTAGATACCTCCTTACCAGCTTTGCTGTCTCTAATTCTACATCCCTCAGGGCTTCCTCCTTCTCAGATATGGTGTCACTCAGTTCTTCCTTCTCCTTGGCTAGTCCTACTGACATGATGAGCTCTTTTTCCAGACTAAAAAATATGAAATCACCATGTATGGATCAGTCTTAAGGAAGCTGCAACAGTCCCAAGGTCCCAACTTGTATCAAGGGTCTCAGGATCCTAGACTGCCTATCAAAGAGAGTGGTAATACAATGTCGACCTAATGCAGAAATTAAATACAAAAGTCTATAACTAAAGTCCTTGAGTCTGTAGTTCATGTCCCAGGATTCAAATAACACACCAGAATTCACCAGCAAGTCAGCCTTCTTCCCACCTTCTATCCTACGGAGCATTCAGATTAAGAGGACCTCTCCCTTCACCCCTGCAATGCCTGACCTTTGAATAGTTTCTTCTTTCTCTCGAATTTTTCTCAGAAGAACCTGATTTGCCTCATCCAGTCTCAGCAGATCCTTTTCGAGGTCTGAGTTCAGGTAGTCAAGGTTCTCTTTTGTGACTTTTAGATTTTGTATTTCCATTACATAATACCTACAGGAAAATCATGTTTATTACTAAACTCAAGGCAGCAAAACATGAAACTAAAAAGACTTCACTCCATCAGCTCACTGGTTCTTCCATCTTGTGTTATTTTGCCCAATCCAGCTTTTACTTTCTCACTTTCTGTGAGAAATTGATTTCTATATCTTTTGCATGAAATATATTCCTGGAATCAAATTGTGTTTTAATTTTACATATTATAAATGGAATACACTGATACCCAACTACAGTGAAATCTTTTACAAAGCAGACGAAATACTTTCGATTGCTGCTTATTCTATTTTTCACAAATAGCACAACCATGTAAGTAATATGCAATAGGCTGTGATGATACAGTACGTAACAATAGATTCTGGAATAGCGCACCCCTGCATGTACCATATACATCTGGTGACATCTCCGGAAGTGAATTTCAGACTCATTCACACTCATTTCAATAATACAAAAATGTTACTTTGATTACATTTGCATAATAAAGGACTAAACCATGGCTGAGGTAAAGAAATCATGGATTGAGTTGGCTGAATCCTGCTAATCAGAAAATAAACAATTGAAATGGTATATGCGCTGGAGAAGTTCATGCTGGGCCTGAGAGTTTTGGAGTTCCTGGTAGTAGATCTGTGCCCAAGCACATCACCCTGGAGATGGGCAGAGAGTCAGGTGGAGGGCTGCACACAGGAGAAACTACACAACCTGAAAACAGGTTCTTGCCTTGGCATGTGGGGACTTTTTTTTTTTTTTTTTTCACAACTAGAGGTCTCAGCACCAGCCCCATGTAAAGACAGGTGGCAGGACAGTCCAAGTGTTTATGTGCACTAACCTGGCCCCTCAGGACCCTTGGGTGGCAAGTTGTAACCTACCCATCTCCTCTGAGTAAGGGATGCACAACCCCTATAGCTCACACCTGTAGCATTTGTGCAGGTGGAAAGTTCCAACAACACCAGTGCAGTGGCCAGTCAGCTGAATGGTGGGCAGAAAGTATTGGATGTGGTGAGCAAGTATGCTATCATAGGCCCTAGGGGTTTCCCAGTCCATGCACCTCCTAGACTGGGCCAGCCACCCTAGCAAGGGCTGTTTCTGGGTCAGAAAAAGTGATTCCTTCCAGAACAGGAGAAAGGAGTTTGCAGAGCAAGGAAGTGATCTTTTCAAGAAAGTACCTGATTTAAAGGTTGCAGAATGTACCCTTTGGTAGTTTAAATTATTATATATGCCTGAGTGTTTTTAAATTAAAAAAAAAAAAAAAATTAAAGTGAATATAGAGAAATGCTGTTAATTGATGGTACATGGAGGAGATTATAATCATTGAAAAGAAAGTGTATGACTTGTTGAATGTAAAACTGATGATCTGCCCCATAAACCTTCACATAATTCACAGTAAAAACTTTTAAGAGAAAAAGTAATAATAAAGAATACAGTGGAACACGTCTTTCATAATTTTAAACCATTTGGTGTCTCCTTGTTCTGTTCAAATAACTGCCTCTTGGTCTATGTACAGGTTCCTCATGAGAACAATTAAGTGTTCTAGAATATTCTTTCTCTACAATGTTGTCCATAGCTTGTCATATGTCACACAATTAAAAGCCTTTGCGATCCCTCATGAACATAAATGCAAAAATTCTCAACAAAATCCCAGCCAGCAGAATCCAGCAGCACATCAAAAGATAATATATCATGATCAAGTGGGATTCATAATCAGGGATGCAAGCATGGTTCAACATTAGAAAAACTATCAACGTAATTCACCATATAAATAAGAAAAAAGAAAAGAACCATATGATCATATCGATTGATGCAGTAAAAGCATTTGAGAATATCCAACATCCATTCCTGATAAAAACACTCAACAAAGTAGGAATTGAAGGGAAATTCCTCAACATAATTAGCAGCATATATACAAAACCAACAGCCTACATTACTCTCAATGGAGAAAAACTGAAAGCCTTCCCTCTATGAACAGGAACCAGACAAGAATGCCCTTTGTCACCACTCCTATTCAATATTGTGCTGGAAGTCTTAGCAAGAGCTATACGGCAAGATAGGGAAATTAAAGGCATCCAAATTGGCA